TGTGTGGGGTGTATATCCCTATTTTCCTATTTGGTTCCTTTTCTCCTGTATATCTGCTTTCTGTCTTGGTCTCCCTTGTTGAGGGTCTGGGTTTTAGGTGAGTTTGGGGCCTCTCCTAGCCCTTGTTCTATATCCCCAGAACCCTTTGAAGATGCCCTCCGGGTGCCTCCACCGCCCCAGTCCATGTCCATGGCTGAGCAGCTTAGAGGGGAACCCTGGTTCCATGGGAAGCTGAGCCGGCGGGAGGCCGAAGCACTGCTACAGCTCAATGGGGACTTCCTGGTACGAGAGAGCACCACTACTCCTGGCCAGTATGTGCTCACTGGCCTGCAGAGTGGGCAGCCCAAGCACCTGCTTCTGGTAGACCCTGAGGGTGTGGTAAGTGACTAAAGTATGGGTAGAGTGGCAGAAAGCTAGGGACAGAACCCCCTTATGACGCTCCCTTCCCTCATTGCTTTATAAACTTTTCCTTGCTGGCAGCTCTCTGTAGGCCTCTGCTTTTATGTGTGTGACATCCTCCTGAAGAGTCTAAAGGTTGTTTTCTCTCATATCTTTTGAGTCTGAGCTGTGTTTTTTATAACCAGTGTTAGTGTCCCACACCTTAAGCCCATCAGATTTAGAAGGTGCTCACCCCATCTGTGCCCCTCTAGACAAGCGAGGAAACCACTACAGAGAGGCTGTGATGCCCAGTGTCTGTTGGTCAGAGGCTGGATACTCTCAGGTTTCATCTTGTAAGAGCTGGAGCCACCTCAGCTCCCCAGATGTGGGCTCAGCATCTTTTCCTCACTGTCCTTGTTTGTTTGTTCCTTTTTTTGTGTCTTTGGTGTTACTTTGTTTTATTTTTTGGTGCTAGTCCTGGGGCTTGAATTCAGGTCCCTGAGCTTTTGTCTCAAAGCCTAGCGCTCTACCACTTGAGCCACAGCTTCACTTCAGGCTTTTCTTTTGGGTGATTAGTTGGAGATAGTCTCACTTTCTTTCCCTGGCTGTCTTCAAATTTCAGTCCTTAGATCTCAAGCCTCCTGAGTAGCTAGGATTATAGGTTTGAACCACTGATTCCTGGTTGGTTGTTTCTTTTTTGTGTGAAAAGTACCAGGACTTGAACTCAGGGCTTTGCACTCTTGCTTGGATTTTTTACTCTCTGTTGGCTATCTACTGTGTAAGCCATGTCTTCAGTCTGTTTGTTTTTTTTCTTTTTTTTGTCAGTTATGGGGCTTGAACTCAGGTCCTGGGTGCTGTTGCTGTCCCTGAGCTTTTTACTTATTTATTTATTTATTATTATTATTTTTTTTTTTTTGCCACTCGTGGGGCTTAACTCTGGCCCTGAGCGCTGTCCCTCAACTCTTCAGCTCAAGGCAAGCACTCTACCACTTGAGCCACAGCACCACTTCTGGTTTTCTGGTGGTTTATTGGAGATAAGAGTCTCACGGACTTTTCCTGCCTGGGCTTGCTTTGAACTGTGATCCCTCAGATCTCAGCCTTCTGAGTAGCTAGAATTACAGGCATGAGCCACTGGCCCCTGGCTTCTCTGAGCTTTTTCGTTCAAGGCTAACGCTGTATCACTTTGAGCCACAGCACCACTCCCCTCCAGTCTGGCTGGTTTTGTTTTGGTTTTTTTTTTGGTCAGTCGTGTGGCTTGAACTCTGGGCTTGGGAGCTGTCTCTGCTCTTCAGATCAAGGCGAGCGCTCTGCCGCTTGAGCCACAGCACCACTTCTGGTTTTCTAGTGGTTTATTGGAGATAAGAGTCTCACGGACTTTCCTTGCCCGGGCTGACTTTGAACCTCAGTCCTCTGATCTCAGCCTCCTGAGTAGCTAGGATTACAGGCGTGAGCCACCGGCGCCCGGCCAGTCTGGTTGTTTTTAAAAAATATTTAAAAATTGTTATTATAGAGGAGATGTACAGAGGGGTTACAATTACATTAGTTAGGTAATGAATACATTTCTTTTTGGACACTGTCCTGGGTAGCTAGCTAGGATCATGGGCGTGAGCCACTGATGTCCACACTACCTTGATTTCTTTTCTACAACAATCTCAACCTCCCTCTTATACTTTTTTTTTTTTTTTTTTTGCCAGTCCTGAGGCTTGAACTCAGGGCCAGGGCACCATCCTTGAGCTTCTTTTGCTCAAGGCTAGCATTCTATCACTTGAGCCACAGCCCCACTTCTGGCTTTTTCTGTTTATGTGGTCCTGAGGAATTGAACCCAGGGCTTCATGCACTGTAGACAAGCTGGGAAGGTGGCTCAGTGGTAGAGCGCTTGCCTTGCATGCTCGAGGCCCTGGGTTCGATTCCTCAGCACCACATAAGCAAAAAGAAAAAAGCTGGAAGTAGCGCTGTGGCTCAAGTGGTAGAATGCTAGCCTTGAGCTGAAGAGCTGAGGGACAGCGCCCAGGCCCAGAGGTCAGGCCCCACGACCGGACCCAAAAAAAACCAACAAAAAACATGCACTGTAGACAAGCACTCTACCACTAAGCCACATTCCCAGCCCCTATTCTCAGGACCTACCTCACTTGGGATGTTTTATGGGCTGGGCCTTGAGTTGAAGAAGGGAATAGTATTGATACTGAGTCAGGAGCCTGGGGTAGAATCCTGTTTTTCCCCAAAACCTCAACAAAGTATTAATGTACAGAGTGGCCTCCTTGTCTAGGCCTTTCCTCTGCCAACTTTTTTTTTTTTAACTGTATCCTCTTCTGAGCTATGTCAACTTCTTTCAAATCAGGAAGTATTCCACTTTCCCTCAGCTTCATGTTTCTGGGCTGTTCATCCTTCACTGATCTGCCCATTCCCACAGCTGTGAATAGCGTCTCTTTGTAGAGAAGCCTAGATGATCAAGGCTGACATCCCTTCCCTCTATTTCTCCTTTAAGCCTTCTTGACTGTTCCATCTTCGTCGTCCTTGGTGGCAGAGGTCTTATTGGACTGCTCCCACCTAAATTGACTCTCTCTTCTCATCTTTCTAGGTTCGGACAAAGGATCACCGCTTTGAGAGTGTCAGTCACCTCATCAGTTACCACATGGACAATCACTTGCCCATCATCTCTGCGGGCAGCGAACTGTGTCTACAGCAACCTGTGGAGCGGAAGCTGTGATCTTTCCCAGCCTGTCTCCCAGGAGATGCCCTCCAGCCTCTTCTCCCCTATTCCTTAACTCTCAGGACTTCACTTGGGATGTTTTAAGGGCTGGGCCTTGAGTAGGAGGAGGGAGTAGTATGGATACTGAGTCAGGAGCCTGGGGAAGAATCCTGTTTCTCCCCAAACCTCACCAAAGTATTAATGTACAGAGTGGCCTCCTTGTCTAGGCCTTTCCTGTGCCAACCTGACACTCCATTTCCAAAGAAGGCTGGTGCTTCTAATGGAAATGTCCTGTGGTGATAGGCCCAGTGAAGCAATTGCCCTTCTGGGGAAGGGGAATGAATCACACCTCTGGTCTGCCCCTGGACTTCAGAATACCCCTGGCCCCTCTGAACACTCCCCCTTCTATGTTAAAACTTTGTGCCTTTGACCATCTCTTAGGTCTGCAGATACTTTATGCAAAGAGTTCTCAGGCCCCTGAATTCAAAAACAGGGGTTCTGACACTTTGGCTTCTTGGACCCTGTCCTCTCCTTGCTCAGTACCCCTTTGGGTTTGGGTTGGGAGAACTAAGGCAGGAGTGGCAGCTGTCCCTCGCCTTGGGGATATGCAACTCTTAAGAGATTGCCCCAGAGCCCCCCTCCCAGCTGGGGTTAGTTGGACCACTCCATTGCTCAGTGCCTCCTGGGCTGGGGAACCCCCTTCACCCAAGGGGTCTGTATATACATTTTGTAAGCCTACCCCTCCCATGTTGCATGCCTGTTATACTCTACAGCCCTACCTCCTGTAGCCCTCACTGTCTCTGGGGCGGTAAATGAATGAATTTGGGCCTTTTCTACCCTTAACTCCAAGGTGAGTTTTGTGGAGGCCAGCACAGGGGCATAGAGACTAAAGCAGTAGACAATCTGAATACTATCTGTAGAATGGGAACAGCATTCGTTTCATTTCATATGCCTATGTGTTAGGGCTGTAGATATACTTTTATTTTCCATGGCTTATTTTTGAGCACAAAATGATAATAGATTACATTTATACACCTGACTTTTTGGAACCCCTTTTACAATGATTGTCATTTTTCTCACCCTAGCCTGAACTGGCAGCATTATCGTTTTATTTTAGAGGAGAAACCTGGGACAAATCAGTTTCACCCTAGGACTAGGAAGAAAACTTGGGCCTCTTATGGCTAGGCTGGGAAGCAGAGTGATAGTATTGTTGCTATGTCATGTGGGGTACCTTCTACATTGGGTCTGTGTGTGTGGCCCATAGAAACTGGCCAGACAGAGAAGCTGGTCTGGCTCGGTCTGGAGGCTTGGGGATAAGGGAGGGTCGAATGTTTCAATCATGGCCATCCTTTTTTGAATGTTTTCACGGTCTCAATTATACCAAAGGGAAATAGCCTTCATTAAAGTCCTATTTCTTCTACCGGGTCTTCTCAAAGTCTATTGTTTGCACTGGGGGCCTTGTGCGGTGGGAGGTGGCGGCCAGCCCCACCTGGCTTCGTTGCTGGGGCACGCCCCGTGCCCGCCCGGGGGAACCCAGGGGTGGCAGTTTGTGCCTGGCAGGGGCGTGGCAAGGCTGGACGCTGGCTCTCCTGCCCCTGGGGGGTGTCCTGGGAGGAGGAGGAGGCTGGCTCGGGCGGGCGGGATAGGGGCGGGCAGTCGCTTTGGCAGCCCCACGGCCAGGACCTCCCGGACCGGCCCCCCGCCGGGTGGTACGGCCTGCAGTAGGGGTGGACGGGTGGGCTCCGCGGCCATCCCGCGGACGGGCCCTGGCAGGCTCCCCCCACCTCCAGCGGGAAGCCTCACTCCACCAGGGCCGTGAGGGGTGCGGCATGCCGTCGCCGGGCTCCCCACCGAGGGTCGGTTCCCGGATCCCCTCCCCGCCGCGCCCGGTGGTGGTGGCCGAGTCCAGTTCCGGTTCCGGTTGCTGTGGCTCGGGGCGGGTGGCTGGCCCTGCGAGCGCGCACTTCGCGCTCTGGCTGGGCGCCACCCCTTCGCCGCGCCGACCGCTCTCCGCAGCGCGGGGGCCATGCTGCCCCTGACTCCCCTTCCGGGCGATGGTGCGGTCTGAGGACGCCTCCATCCCCCGCCACCGCCGCTGACTCCGGTCCCCCACTCCATGGCCGCCTCGGCGCCGCCCCCACCGGACAAGCTGGAGGGAGGTGGCGGCCCCGCACCGCCCCCTGCGCCGCCCAGCACCGGGAGGAAGCAGGGCAAGGCCGGTGAGCGCGCCCACAGAGGCCGGGGCAGGGGAGACCCAGGATTTGGGAGTCTTGGAGGGGAGAGCTGATAAATGGCGGGCGGTCTGTGGGACCGGGGGGCGGGGGAGGCTCCCGTGGAACAGATAAGTGGGTGTAGCTCTGAAGAGATTGGGGCCGGTGTCACATAGCCACCGCAGGGTTTGGAGCCTTGTTGAAAGCAGGAGGTACTTCAAGTTAGATGATATCAAGAAGTGGGGTATCTGTGATTTCAAGGAATACTTAACTGAGTCCGGTTTTCGTGTGATTTGAATTAGCATTTGTTAAATAGCCAAACAAGCACATAATGAAGTTAGAGTACTTTCGGGGAGAGTGGGAGAGAAGGATGTGGTAGAAACCTCAGGAAAACTTGCCTGTGTCTGCCTTTTGCTGCTCTTTCAGGTCTGCAAATGAAGAGCCCAGAAAAGAAGCGAAGGAAGTCAAATACTCAGGTGAATGGCCGTGGTTGGTGGGAGTCACTCTTAGCAGGCCCTAAATGCACTGGCTACTGATGTCCTGTTGTTATTCAGTGTCTTCCATCAGGCACAGAGGAAAGAGATAGCTGTCTTGTTCTATGTCTGGTTATTTCTTTCAACCTTATAATGAACGTGGGGGAAAATATTTTCCTCCAAGACATGGTTTAAGCAAAAGTATTATTGGTGAGGATTATGGTCTTCCTTTCATCTTTCCTGAACTGATGACATAATGATGATGAACTTGAGGAACTTTTTTTTTTGACAGACCTGATGATGATGAACTTAAGGAACTTTTTTTTTGGCCAGAACTGGGGCTTGGACTCAGGGCCTGAGCACTACTATCCCCAAGTTGCTGCTGCTGCTGCTGCTGCTTCTCTTTTTGCTCGAGGGGAGTACTCTACCACTTGAGCCACAGCATGACTTCTGCCTTTTTCTGTTTATGTGGTTCTGAGGAATTGAACCCAGAGCTTCAAACATGTTAGGTAGGCAAGCACTCTACCACTAAGCCACATTCCCAGCCCTTAAGGACCTTTTTTTAAGTGTCAGGTGTGCTTTCATAGTTACTCTGCTTTTCAGAGAAAAGTCTGGTTTAGGAAAGTTATTATTGGGCTGGGAAGGTGGCTCAGTGGTAGAGCGCTTGCCTTGCATGCTCGAGGCCCTGGGTTCGACACCTCAGTACCACATAAACCAAAAGAAAAAAGCCGGAAGTGGCGCTGTGGCTCAAGTGATAGAGCACTAGCCTTGAGCTGAAGAGCTGAGGGACAGCGCCCAGGCCCAGAGTTCAGGCCCCACTACCAGACCCCCCCCCCCAAAAAAAAGTTATTATTTATTTTTGTCAGTTGTGGGGCTTGAATTCAGGGCCTGGGCACTGTCCCTGAGTGCAAGGCTAGCGCTCTACGACTTGAACCACAGCACCACTTCTGGTTTTCTGTGGGGGAAGGGAAGGTAGTTAATTGGGGATAAAGAGTCTCATGAACTTCACTGTCCAGTCTAGCTTCGAACCTTGATCCACAGATCTCAGCCTCCTGAGTAGCTAGTATTACAGGCATGAGCTACCAGCATCCCACTTGTTTTTAAAAAGTTATATACCTGATTTAGGGTCAGCTGGGATTTCAGCATAGTCCTGCCTGTTTTTCAAAACAGATCCCTATGCTCTGCTTTTCTTTGCATTTTTAAGGTCCAACTTGAGTTTAGATCTGAGCCTTCATGGTGTGTATTGTGTTTGCCTCCATGGCTTGTATTGTGTTTAGTGTTTCCCTCCTTGACCCTCTTCCTCTCTTTCTCACTAGGGCCCTGCATATTCACATCTGACAGAGTTTGCACCACCACCAACTCCCATGGTGGATCACCTGGTTGCGTCCAACCCTTTTGAGGATGACTTCGGAGCCCCTAAGGTGGGGGGTGCAGCCCCTCCGTTCCTTGGCAGTCCTGTGCCCTTTGGAGGCTTTCGTGTACAGGGGGGCATGGCTGGCCAGGTACCCCCAGGCTATGGCACTGGGGGAGGAGGGGGTCCTCAGCCACTTCGTCGACAGCCTCCGCCTTTCCCTCCCAATCCTATGGGGCCAGCTTTCAACATGCCTCCACAGGGCCCTGGCTACCCACCACCAGGCAATATGAACTTTCCCAATCAACCCTTCAACCAGCCACTGGGTCAAAACTTTAGTCCTCCTGGTGGGCAGATGATGCCAGGTCCAGTGGGAGGATTTGGTCCCATGATCTCACCCACTATGGGACAGCCTCCTAGGGGAGAGCTGGGCCCTCCTTCCCTCCCCCAACGCTTTGCCCAACCAGGGGCACCTTTTGGCCCTTCTCCTCTCCAGAGACCCGGTCAAGGGCTTCCCAGTCTGCCTCCCAACACAAGTCCTTTCCCTGGTCCAGACCCTGGCTTTCCTGGCCCAGGTAGTGAGGATGGAGGGAAGCCCCTGAACCCACCCGCTCCTACTGCTTTCCCCCAGGAGCCCCACTCAGGCTCCCCTGCTGCCGCTGTTAATGGGAATCAGCCCAGTTTTCCACCAAATAGCAGTGGACGTGGTGGGGGCACTCCAGATGCCAACAGCCTGGCACCTTCTGGCAAGGCAGGTGGAGGCTCAGGGCCCCAGCCTCCTCCAGGCCTGGTGTACCCATGTGGTGCCTGTCGAAGTGAGGTGAATGATGACCAGGATGCCATTCTGTGTGAGGCCTCCTGCCAGAAGTGGTTCCACCGTGAATGCACAGGCATGACTGAGAACGCCTATGGGCTGCTGACCACTGAGGCCTCTGCCGTCTGGGCCTGTGATCTCTGCCTGAAGACCAAGGAGATCCAGTCTGTCTACATCCGAGAGAGCATGGGACAGCTGGTGGCTGCTAACGATGGGTGACTGACAGGGTGGTCTGGCCAAGTGTATATTTCCTCTCTGTTCTTCCAGAGTGATTGTCTAGCTCTTGGTTCTTGTTTCCACTGGCTTTCTATCCCCATGGAGCAGAAACACTGGTTCCTAGGAGCCTAAAAGAAATGGATGTAGGCAGGCAGAAGAGCCTGTATTTGTTACTTTTCTTGGAACTTATGCCTTGAGATCTACAGAGATCCAGGAAACCAAAGCCCTGCCGAGCAGAGCCATTTTTTTGTGTGTTGCCCTCTAGCGGCCTGGGGGTGAAAAGTGGATGAAGGAAGTTCTGGAGAGCCCCTACTACCCGTGCCTAACACCCCTATCTAGACCCACAGGTCCAACGTTGTTTTTAGAGTCAAGTATTAAGGTTTCTGGCTCTAAAAAGAAATGGGGTTCTTCATAGCCCTTTCATGGGCTTTGACAGTTTTAGGGACTATGTGGGGATGTCTCCCCTTTTCTCTCCTTCCCTAGGCTTATCTAACTCCTCCCCATTCAGAGCACCAAATAGCTTGAAGAAGCAGGAGAGTGCCTGGCTATTGCAGTTTCTTGGTGATTTGGGGGTTTCAAGATAATAGGTAAGGTTGGGATGCTGTTAGGACAAATCTTCCTCATACCAAAGTCACTGGTCCTTTCCCAACTTTTCTTGTGCTTTTCTCTTAATGATCATATATATATATATTGCCAAAAATTGGATATGTGGTTTTACAGACCAGAATATTTGAAGTTTGGGCCAACTTGATACTCTAGATTTTGGTGGTAACCCGCACCCCCTCTCTGTTGCACATTATACTCCGTGCTGTTCTTCAGCTTTTGGTGCCCTTATTTCTCTGCCTCTCTGGCTTGATTGAACTAAAGCTTAGAAAGGCACAGAGCCTTTATACCTCATTTCCTTCCGTATGAAAGGATCCAATTGAGGCAGTAGGAGGCAGTGAGATCCTCATTGCCATGGCAACTAAAAGGTAGAAGAACCTGGAGGCTTTTTTTTTTTTTTTTTAAACTTCTGTTCCTTTGCTATCCTTTGGTATCCTTTTGGGCCTGATGATCTAGCAATTCTCATTCCTCAGCCAAAGTCCTGCTCTAAACTCCCCTCACCTCTTCCATTCTCCTTCCCTTCTCTTTTGCAGTTCTGAGGGGTTGAGCCCAGGGCCTCACCCAATACTGTAGGAGTTGAGCCACACTCCCAGCTCTTCAATTTTCATTTTGCTTTTGAAATAGAAATTCACTAACTTTGTCTGGGCTAGCCTCAAACTCATGATTTTCCTGGCTCTGCCTGTATTCAGAGCTACTGGATTGTAGGTTTGTGTGCTACCACACCCATTCCCAGCTGTTTTTATTTTTAAAGCACTGTTTGTCAGTGATGAGATGGGCCTGACCTGGAGCCCCTTCTGGTGCTCTTTTTAGTCTAACAGTGAATGTGCACATTCCTCAAAGGGGTAGGAAGGCAGGCCGGGGGTGTGTCCTTCCTGAGAGGAGTCAACTCTGAGCACTGGGTTTAGCTGAAAAGGCCACCCTCCCATCTCTTACTACCCCTGCTTTCCTCAGTTCCTGCACATTGTCTGGAGGAGCCGGTAGGCCTTAGAGGCTGTGAAGAAAAGGGCTGGCTTTTCTCTCCCAGTTTCCCCAACGCCGAAACAGCATAGGTGGCAGCTCCCTGCTGCTCAACTTTGTGTTGTGTTTGTGGTTCTGTTTGCCTCTCTTTTGTTAGTATTTTTGTGTGGTCTCCACAGTTTGTAAAATGCTCCTGGGGAGTGTCTATCCCAACTGCCACCTTGTCCTCTACTTTTTGGAAGAAAGTGGGATGGCAGAGATGTGGTCATGGGATCTTTTGTATGGTTGGATTAATAAAATGACTTGAAAATCCAGACAAGGACTTCTTGCTGTTTATCTGCAAGAAGGTTGGGATGTGCCACTGTTACAGCTAATGTTGTGGCAGTGCAGACCAGCAGAGATCAAGACCACTTTTTAGAGAGGATAAAGGAGTTTATTTTGGGCTACCTGAACCCGGCTAGTGCCAGAAAGAAGCTTGGATCCCAAGGGAGGTAGGACAGACTGGGTTTTACTCAAGCTGGTTGCCTACAAAATGGGCATTAATCAGATAAACAAGGTCAAGCAGGCTGACATCTTCTGACTAGGTGGGCAGTTCCTTTCTAGTTGTATAGTAATAACATCCTGTTACTACCTCTTCTGTATTTAAAATAATGCATTGTGGGCTTCCCACTACCAATTTAGATAGCTCCACTTAGTCTGCCCCCAACTCACATTGCATTAACAGCTCTACTTGGTCACATTCCAGCAAACTGTCCTTTACCTTGCACACAGTTATTAGAGAGGGGTAATTCTTCACTAGGAAGATGCTTTGAAGGTAAAATGTCTACTCCCAAGGATCTTTGGAAGAGCTGGTGGCAGGAGGATTCAGCCCATTCCCAATCCCCAGCAGACTCTACTGTGGTTGCCCAAGCTGTGAGAAACCAGGTTTCCTTTCTGGGCACATTCCTGGACTGGGCCTGGAGCCAGGCAGGAGACTTAGCTCCAAGGCCCCTGGGAGACCCAATGTTTCAGATCTGGGTTTAGTGCCTCCTTCTCCCTATTTGATGGACTAGCCATCAAATGTAGCTACAATCATGAGAAGAGCATCCACACAGCCCATTTTCTTCCTCCCTCCCTCCTTCTTTTCCCTCCCTCCTTTCCTTCCTCCTTCCTTTCCCTTTCCTATGCTGGTCCTGGGGCATGAACTCAGGGCCTGGGCACTGTCCCTAAGCTTTTGTCGTTAATTGGAGATAAGAGTCTTACAGATTTCCTTCCCAGGCTGGCTTTATTTATTTATTTATTTACTGGGGGGTCCGGTTGTGGGGCCTGAACTCTGGGCCAGGGTGCTGTCCCTCAGCTCTTCAGCTCAAGGCTAGCGCTCTACCACTTAAGCCACAGCGCCACTTCCGGCTTTTTTCTTTTTGCTCATGTGGTGCTGAGGAATCGAACCCAGGGCCTCATACATTGCAAGGCAAGTGCTCTACCACTGAACCACCTTCCCAGCCCCCCCAGGCTGGCTTTAAATTGTGATCCTCAGATCTTAGCCTCCTGAGTAGCTAGGATTACAGGTATGAGCTATCGGTGTCTAGTGCAAATTTAATTGTTTATATGCTTTTCATATTCCATTCTCAACCCCACTCCTGTTTTTTGTTGTTGTTGTTTTTTGTTTGTTTGTTTTGTTTTGAGCTACAGCACCACCTCTGGTTTTCTGGTGATTTATTGGAGATAAGAGTCTCACATATTATCCTTCCCTGGCTGGCTTTGAACCATGATCCTCAGATCTCAGCCTCCTGAGTAGCTAGGATTATAGGTGTGAGCTACCAGCGCCCAGCTCCCACTCCTGTTTTTTGTTGTTCCTGTTTTGCTTTTTGAGAGGGAGTAGGTAACCCAGACTGACCTAGAACTCACTATCTTGCGTTGCTTCAATTCTGGGATTATATTTAACAACCTGCTCCTTCTATTTAGTTGGTGGGGCTTGACTTTAGGGCCTGGGCAATGTCCCTGAGTTTTCTGCTCAAGGCTAGTGCTCTATCTTTGAGCCACTTGTGGTGGTTAATTGGACTTTCCTGCCTGGGCTAGCTTTAAACCATGATCTTCAGATCTCAGCCTCCTGAGTAGCTAAGATTATAGGCATGAGCTCCAGTGTCTTCCCCCGGCACCCCCCCACACTTTTTTTTTTTTTTTTTTAGCAGCAGCACCTCAGTTGGCTGGCTGTTAGGGCCAATGAGGAGCATAGCAGGCTATTTCTAAACCAACAGATTTGCCACCTGTCCTTTCTCCTCCCCCATCCCACAGCTGTCTCTGTCTGTCTGTGGCCCAGCTTGGCTTCTTGTGTCATCTCAGGAGACACCAGCATTTCAGTCAGGGTCTTCTAGAACTCTAATCACTAGGAAAGAAAGGGAGGTAACTCAATTCAGTTTGTAGAAGTCCCCAGTTGCCCACCAGGAGGCAAAAGCAGGTTAGGGTGCTCTGTAGATCTCCCTTCCCACTCCCTGGCTCTCCAATTCTAGTTCTTATTCGCTGAAAGTTTCCACCCTCCTCGAGGAAGTCTACTTTTTATTGGTTAGTGGCAGTTCACGTGATCCGTTCTTTTCTTGGGCTGGAAAACTGGGCTGACTGCTACAAGTTTAGCTGAAGACTGAAGCAGAGCTGGGTCAGGTAATGCCCTTGTTGGGAAGGGTCCACAGACTCCCTTATCCCCAGATAAAGGAAGAGACGAAAGTCTAGGAGGACTGGGCACAATATTGGATCCGTGCAGCTGCTTTTCAAGGACCTAAGGGACCGACCGGGATAGGAGGGAGGTGGATATTTCTAACTCAATGACTTGTTCTGAGTCTCTCAGGCAAGTTCTTGTTGCCCTAGGTCTGTTTGCCAGAGAGATCTGGGGGAACAATTGTTGGGTTAAAATGAGCTGGAGACTTCCTAACTTCTTACAGAGTGGGAGAGCTCCCCCTTTAGCTGTTTCTTAGAAATGACAGACGTCTTTGACAACTTTTCAAGATGTTTTTGTTGAATCTTGTCAGAATGAGGAGAATGGGATGGTGGGGAGAGAGGGAATTTTCTTCCCAGAGGTTTTTTTTTTTTTTTTTTTTTTTCCCAGAAGAAAAAACTCTGAAAATGGCAGGAAAGGGTGGAGAATAAGTAGCAGAAGAAATTTCCTAATAAGGCAGTGAGATGCTGCCTTGGGAGAACCGGGTATCTTGGAATCTTGGGTGAACACACCAGGAGACAGGTATCATAGTTTAGGACCCAGAGTGCAGGGGCTCCAGACTATCTCTTGTTTCTAAACTATTTGTCTTGTTGACCCAAATACTGTTGCTGGTTTCTATGGAGACACTGGGTCTGACATCACTCTGGTTGCCATGGTGCCTGGTTCTGGAGGACCTGATCAGGCTGTACAAAGCCAGGGATAAACAGGGACTTCAGCCCAAGCTGCTGCCACTTCCTTCCTGACACCACCTGTTAACAGTCACTAGCAGCAATGGGGGGGGTGGGGAGATGATGACAGAACAGTGGGGGAGAGACAGAGAACAGAAGGCTGAACAGCAATGTCTATGGATATCTATAGAAACCTACCGGTGGTAGTATCCTATTGGATTTGAAAGCAGTGATGGCAGCCATTCTCCTGGCTCTGCATGGAGAGAGAGACAGAGAGAGAGAGACAGCAACAGAGAGGAGAGAGAGAGAGAGAGAGAGAGGAGAGAGAGAGAGAGAGTGTGTGTGTGTGTGTGTCTGGGAGGCATGAACATTATAGAAGAGTCTTTCAGGTGTGTTTTACCCATCCTGGTCTTGAATCTTCATTTGCAAGAACCACAGAAGGTGATTAGCCACGCAGGACTTGAAACCAGCTGAAACAGATGGGGGCCATGTGGCTGGCTTCAAGGGTAGCACTGCCTGAGCCTCTCAGCCCACTTACCTTTCCCACTGTTGTTTTACACATACTGTCTTTTTGGTTCTGTGGGAGGCAGTTATTTATCTTCCTCTGGGAGATCACCATCCATGCAGGAGTTTGAGGGGTCAGCTCATCTGTCACTTTACCATATCTGGTCCCATTTGCAGCTTCCCAGCCTGACAGCATAGTCTTGACCATTTTTTCTTGCCTTGCTTTGTGTCAGGCTTTGGAGGCTGAAGTCATGCCCTCATCCTGACCTTGCCAAGTCAGAGCAGATAAGCAGAGGCTAGGACCAGAGTCCTGTAACAAGGAGAGTGACTTAAGGTGTACTGTGTGGACTAAGCTCTACCAGCATTGCTTAGTCCTGGGTGTACTTGAGAATCTAAGAGGGTTTTAAGAAGCTACATGCACAGCTCTGTCCCACAGAAAGGAAGGGAAATCACAGCCAGTGAGTGCTAAAAACCCAGAACCAGATATAGAGAGGACTGATGAGGAGTTGACAGTGGAGATTGAGGCTGGAATGAAACAAAAATCACATCTCTCCAGACCCTAGTGGCCCTTCTGTTCAGTGGGTGTTTGTGAGCTGCCCGATTTTGTAAGGGGGAGGCCCTATCATGTTGTTTTCCTTAATCTTATTCTTTTTTTTTTTTTGGCAAATTGTGTCAGCCTTTTTGGGCTTTCTCTTCCCTGACTATTAACATCAGAGGGTTGAACCCGATGTTCCCAGGGCCTTTCCAGTACGAGCTTCTTTGACCTTTCAAGGTCAGTACAGTTTTCAAAGGCCTGTGGATCTGGGAAGAGACAGCTTCTCTGTGGCTGTTGGCAGGTGCTGATTTGCAAGGCAAATACTGCCCAGAAGAACTGAGGGATCAGGGTCAAGACTGGAAGCAGCCTGGATTCTGGAGGCTGCTGCCCAACTCTCTATCCTTAGAACTTTGCCAAGTTTGCTTTCCACATCCTGCCTCTTCTAAAGGGAGCTTCCTGTCCTAAGAGAGCCTTCCTCCACAGGTGGCAGCCCCAACAGCCCCTGGGACCTCAGCAACTATGGCCTCCTGCCCAGACTCAGATAATAGCTGGGTGCTTGCCGGCTCAGAGGTAGGAAGAACTGTTCTGGGAACCACATTTGGCGGTGGGGCTGCTGGGCTAAACTACACTCTGGGTCCATCCTCTTCCTTGCTCCTGAGAATGAACTGCATTGCCTACTGTTGGTTGTTAAAAAAATTTCAATGGCCAAGAGACCTGGCCCTGGCATCCAGTGCTGGGACTTGGGTCATACATGGAAGGGAAGGTATCATTTGGGTAAACTGAGAGGATTAGGGAGGGAGTTCTAGTTGGGAGATCAGTTAACATTGGGGAGATCAGGCAACATGGGGGAGACATGTTGGGGAGAGAGAGGAAGTCATTGGTTGAGGTAGAGACAAGGCAGAGCCAGTGTTGGAGTGAAGCTGGGAATCTAGCAAGCTTGAAGGGTCTGGTAAGGCAGACAGGCCTTATCCTGATGGCCAGTCAGTGAAGGGGTTGGGCAGAGGGCTAAGCCACTCTGTAGGCTGACTGGGAACAGGAACAGTTATTTCCAAAGTTCTGTAGCTGTCCAGATAGGAGTTGTTGCGACGGAACCTTGAAAAGAGAGAAGAGCTGTCAGGATAAGACACTGGTAAATAAAAAGGGGATAGGGAGAATATATCCCAGGAATCTCAGAGAGATCCCAGCCCAGTGGCTTTGTATCTTAGAGCCACCAGAAACCAGGTTTGGTGGGTCATGCTATAATCCTAGAAGTAGAAGGATTATAAATTGTACCTGCCCACCTTGGACTACTGGTCAACATATATAGGCCAGTAGGCCATTTTTTTTTTAAAGTCAGGGTGGGAAATGGAATTCCTTTTAGACCTTGTGACTTTGAGGGGCCCTTGAGGAGCCCAGCTGGGACTGAGGAGTTTTCCTCAGTAGTAGCACTGGAGCAGGACACAAGGACTAGGGCTTACTGAGTGGGAGGCAGGTTGGGGAGAAGACAGGCATTGTGATCTTGGTTGGCCTTGGCCTTCTGTAGGGGTGTCTTTGCTGATAGCTGGGGATTTTGGCTAAGCCACTTTTCCTCTCTGTCCTCTTCTGGAAAACCAGTGTTGTGATGCTTGCCTTGTAAGAGTTTGCAAAGAAACATACTAAAGTCAAGAATTGTTTTTGGAGAGGGAACAGGAGCCACAGACAGGGTGGGCAGTCTATGAGCCTGCCAAGGGGAAGCATGCAGAAAGCCGAAGCTTTCTGTGTCCAGGGCTGGAGGCCCAGCCAGCAAAAAGACACTACTACTGGGTATCAGGCTGGCTGTAGCAGGGAGAAGTTAGGTTTCTGTCAGCAGCTATGGGGAAATGGGTTTGGGAATGGAGAGAGGAGACAGTGGGAAAAGCCAGAAAAGCTTAGAAGTTAGAAGTGGTTGGGCTAATGTGAGAGTGGCTATAGGATGTCCCTTAAATGTATCTGTGACCCTCAGGCTCCCAGCAGGCTCTGTTCTTTTGCCATCTCCTCCTATCTCCTACCCCTCAGTTACTGACGATCTTGTGGGACAGGAAGGGCTCAGGTTCCAGCCAGCCTTCCTCAGAGGCTGCCAGGCTTATACAATGGTCCAGGTCCTTCATGGTTTCACAGGAGCCTGGCCTCTGGGAGCAGTGAGTGAGGTTCATGAATGGCTGAGTTGAGTCCCACTTTGAATCTACTTGCTACTGAGCAAGATGTGGGCCAGGGTCCCTGAGGGTAGCCCTACCAGCCCCTGTGCTTCTGACTTTGCCTTGTCTTGTCTTTCTTTGGATCATCCCTGAGATTACCCCACATCCTACCCCACAGAACCTACCTGTGGAAACCTTGGGCCCTGAACACAGGACAGATCCAGAATCTAAGAGATCTACTCAGGACCCTGGGATCATCTCCAAGGCAGATGGTGAAGAATTAGTTGAGACCTTGGATGGAGAAGGTAAGGGGCTCTACAGAGAGGGAGGCATAGCTGCCTTCCATCTTCTGGAGTGTCTGTCTCCTCAGGGAAGGGGATGCTTCTTGGTCTTATTTCCCTATTAACTTCAGGTTATAGACTTCTGTCTTAACCACCCAGCCTTTTTTTTTTTTCTGCCTCTTACAACCTGTTGGGGTTCAATTAGACCTGGAGGGCTGTGTAGGAAGTTCAGTTGAGGACAGTGTTTTTTCCTTGGCTTTTCTCCTACCAAAGGAACCCTCTTCCAGACTGAAAGCCCCCAGAATGAAAGTCCCACTCAGGAAGAAGAGACCAAGGCCAAGGTGAGGATCTTCACCCGGGGAGCGAAGGAAGGTAGTGGGAGAGGGAGAGGACACTGCACACAGGTATGTCCACACAGGGTGTTCTGGAAGGTGATGATCATGGTATGGAGCCTCCTGGTCCAGGAGACACATTGGTCCAGGAAGACTTGCCGGAGACTTCCATGGTGACAAGCCTGGGACCAGACACAGAGGACCTGGAGAATCCTCCCCCAAGTCCCAAAACAGGTGATGGCTCTCTCCTTGCTTCCTTCCCTCACTGTCCTAGGAGGTACTGGAAAGTGAGCAGCTATCGTTCCTGAGCACATTTTCAAGTCCACCCTGGATTTTGCAGCTTGGTGCTCTCCTTCCTCAGTACACTGAAGCTCAGAGAAATTGACTTGAATGAGGTCACAGTGCAGGGCCAATAGCTGGTTGACTCCTCTCTTCCTTGTGTCCTCCTCTTCTCTTGATTCTAGAACTCAACATTAATTTCTAGAGTCCCTTATGTTCACTCCACAAAGAAGCGCATGTTTACTGGGTGCTGGTTGCTCATGTCTATAATCCTAGCTACTCAGGAGGCTGAGATCTGAGGATCATGGTTCAAAGCCAGCTAGGGCAGGAAAGTTCTGTGAGACTCTTACCGCCAATTAACCACTCAAAAACCAGAAGCGGCGCTATGGCTCAAGTAGTAGAGTGCTGGCCTGAGCACAAAGAAGCTCAAGGACTTCTGGCCTCACTTCTCCAGATGCTGCAGCCTTAGCCTACATTGTTCTCTTCCTCCTGCCCTCTCTACCTATTCTGTATTCACTTCCATTCAAATGGCACCTCCAGTTATCCCTGCTTCTCTCGTGTTCTCCTGACTGAACTACCTCCCTCTCTGAACTACCTCCCTCTCTTTTGGGAGCCCCTTAATTGCATCTCCTTTATGTACCTCCTCATAGGTCTAACTTGTGTCTTTGGCTCAGTGTTAGAATGTGTCCCAGGAATCTAAGAGAGATCCCAGCCCCAATGACTTTGTGTCTTAGAGCCACGAGAAACCAGGTTTGGTGGGTCATGCTATAATCCCAGAACTTGGGAGACTAAGGTAGGATTGTACATTGTTCCTGCTCCAGCCTCGACTACTGGTCAACATAAATAGTCACTGCCCTGATTGAAAGCAAGCTCCTAACCCACAACCCCTCCTTTACCCTCCCCAGAACCCTAATACAGGCCCAGAGGTTTGTTCCAGGCTGTAACCCTGGCATATAAGAGTTGTCTCTGTTGAAGACTGATAGGGGCCAAAGGGGAGGGGTAGGAGAAGCTGAGACCTGGAGCCATTTAGGAGCAGCCACAGTGGTCAGGCAAAGGTGATACAGACTTGACCTAAAACAGGGCCCATGGGCTTGTGAAGAAGGTAGACTCTTGAAGTTCAGGGGCAGGCTTATCCAATTATTTGGAGAGGTCAGCCTGATGGCAGCAGTGGTACTTGTCCCTAATTTGGGAAACTTCAGGAAAGAGCCATTTTGAAGGGCAGTGTGCTGAATGGTCCATGAGGAAAGCAAGCATGGCTATAGGCAGTCAGACCACAGGCCCAGGGTTCTGGGGAAGCCAGGGAGGGACTGTCAGTTAGGAGCTTGTTTACAGTCAGGGCAGTAAGTGGGGTAGGTGAGAGAGTTATGATCTTGTGGGAAGTGTGAGATGCTTAGAACTAGGAAGGTTCTAAGGGAGAAGATCAGGGAAGAACCAAGATGGCAGAATGAGTGGCCAGAGAATTGGGAGCATTTCCAGAAGGGTGGCTGTCCAAGCTGATGCCAGGTACATGTTGAAGGAAGGAAGTTTCATTTATTTATTTATTGGGTCCAGTCGTGGGACCTGAACTCTGGGCCTGGGCGCTGTCCCTCAGCTCTTCAGCTCAAGGCTAGTGCTCTAGCGCTTAAGCCACAGTCCCACTTCCGGCTTTTTTCTTTTTGCTTATGTGGTGTTGAGGAATTGAACCCAGGGCCTCATGTATGCAAGGTAAGCGCTCTATCACTGAGCCACCTTCCCAGCCCTGGAAGATTCTTTTAGCATGAAAGTGGCTTTTTTTTTTTTTTTTTGGTAGGTTGTAAGGGGACAGGTCTCCTGCCTCCAGTCTAGGCAGGGGCAGCTCTTGATGCCCAGGTAGAAGTGGGCAGTCTTCATGTGCCTTTCTGTGGTCAGGGCTAGGGGTCTCCCTGTGCCTTCCTCCTCTTCCCCTCTCTCCCTGGGTCCTGTCTCTTGTTGCCTTATTGTCCTGTCCCCCATCAGTTTGGATCAGGGAGGAGGGCCGCTGCTCTAGCAGTGAGGATGACACTGACGTGGATGTGGAGGGTCTGCGGCGACGGCGAGGCCGGGAGCCTAGCCCACTGAAGCCTGTGGTGTCCTTGGATGTAGAAGACCAGGCCAGAGGCGAGGGTTCAGGTGGGGAGCTGGGCATCTCCCTCAACATGTGCCTCCTTGGGGCCCTAGTTCTGCTGGGCCTGGGGATCCTCCTCTTCTCAGGTGAGTGACTCTCTGCTGTGGGGCCTTTGGCCTGCACTCTGGCCTTGCCATCCTATCCTGCTCCCTTATTTACCCCACCTCCTCCCCTGAGGCCTCACCAGACTCCTATCTCCCTCCTCAGGTGGTCTCTCAGAGTCAGAGACTGGTAAGTCCTTGTCTATTATGTGAATGTGAATGTTGGGGTCCTCTGGATTGGGGATTAGGTGTGTTAGGGGTTGTACATTATTTCTCACATATTGATGTTTCAGCTTTTCAGTGTGTCCCTGGGCTCTGTACCTCACTGGACTCTCGGCCAAGGGATGTGTCTAGGGCAGAAGGGGTGACTGGGAGAGGACAGAATGGGTTCTGGTTGTTTTGGTGCCCCGTTCAGACTTTGCTTTTTCACAGGGACCATGGAGGAGGCAGAGCTGCAGGTCTTCCCAGATCCTGGGTTGGAGGCTGAGCTGGTGGATGCTGTTGGGGATAGGCAGGTATGTGCAGATATCTCTACAGGTGTGTGGCACCTGGTGGCAAGAACCTGTCTGCCCTGGCTTTTGGGCAGTATGAAGCAACCAGCTCTTTTGCTTTCAGGATGGGCTAAGGGAACAGCTTCAGGCCTCAGTGCCCTCTGATGGTGTCCCTAGTCTGCAGAACATGGGCCTTCTGCTGGACAAGCTGGCCAAGGAGAACCAGGACATCCGGCTGCTACAGGCCCAGCTACAGGTATCAGCAGGAAGAAGCAGGTGTGGCTAGTCCAGGTGTCTGTCCTAGTGACCTCCTCTCAAAGAAGTTTTCCCTACTTACCCACACCCTGAGCCTCCTCTTTTCCTCTCATAGCCATGGTGTCTTCCTGATTCCCTGTTCACATCCCTCATGCTAGAATCTGCACCAAGGCTGGCATAGTTGTTTCATGTGGCATGTCAACTCTGATTATTTGTATGGTCTTCCTGGACATTGTATAAATCAGGCTTTGAAGAATATGCCAAACTGGATGCTGGGGGTTCATACTTGTAGTCTTAGCTACTTAGGAGGCTAAGATCTTGGGATCATGGTTCAAAGCCAGCCCAGGCAGGGAAGTCAGTGAGACTCTTACCTCAAATTAGCCACCAAAAAGCTAGAAGTTGAGCTGTGGCTCAACTGGTAGAGTGCCAGACTTGAGAAGAAAAAAAAAAAGGCTCAGGGACAGTGCTCAGGCTTTGAGTTCAAGCCCCAGGACCAGCACAAAACAAAACAAAACAAGAAGAACACATCAAGGCTATGCCAAGCACTGGGATCAATTAACAGTGAGGGAACTGGAGGTAGAAATGAGGCCATGAGAGCCAGATATTGTCTCTCTTTACTGAAAGTTAAGAAGTGTGTACTAATATGAGGACATAGATGCAGAGACCCAGAATGACATTTGGGCATCCCAGAGGATGTGAAAGAGGATGAGAATCAAATCCTCTGGGTTTCCCAGGCAATAAAATAGGTTCAGGTCAGGCATCCACTGTAACTTTTTTCCCCTTCCTTAGTGTTGGGGATTGAGACCAGGGCTTCATACATGTAAGGTGAGAACTGTACCAGTGGAGTTTCATTTTCAATTCCTGCCTACAATAACCAAATGGAATTGGGGTAGAAGGCATTGGGCCCATTCTGACAAGGACTTTTTTTTTTTTGGTTGGTCGTGGGGCTTGAATTCCGGGCTTGGGTGCTGTCCCTGAGCTCTTCAGCTCAAGGGGAGTACTCTACCATTTGAGATGCAAACTTGAGCCAGAAAACTTCCAGTTTTCTGGTGGAGATAGAGTTTCACTGCTGGGTGTCAGTGGCTCACGCCTGTAATCCTAGCTACTCAGGAGGCTGAAATCTGAGAATCACGGTTCGAAGCCAGCCAGTAGGAAAGGCTGTGAGACTCTGATCTCCAATGAACCACCAGGAAACTGGAAGTGGTGCTGTGGCTCAAGTGATAGAGTCCTAGCCTTGAGCTAAAGAGCTGAGGGATGGCGTCCAGGCCCAGAGTTCAAGCCCCATGACTGACCAAAAAAAAAAAAAAAAGAGTTCTATGGACTTTGCTGCCCAGGCTGGCTTTGACTAGCTAGGATTCCTGCCCAGGCTGCCTCCTGACTAGCTAGGATTACAAGCATGAGCCACTGGCTCCTGGTCTGACAAAGACTCTTGTCATTTCTTCCATTTCTAATTGCATTTAAGGCCCAGAAAGAAGAACTTCAGAGCCTGATGCAGCAACCCAAAGGGCTGGAGGAGGAGAATGCCCGGCTCCGGGGAGCCCTGCAGCAGGGTGAGGCCTCCCAGAAGGCCCTGGAGTCAGAGCTGCAGCAGCTGAGGGCTCGGCTCCAGGGGCTAGAGGCCAACTGTGTTCGTGGCCCAGATGGGGTATGCCTCAACTGGGGCAGAGGCCCGCAGGGTGGCAAGGCCACTGAAGAGCAAGGTCATAGGGGACAGGAGCCAGACCCTGGCTTCCTGGAGCAGCAGAAACGGCTGGAGGCTGAGGCCCAGGCCCTTAGGCAGGAGCTTCAGAGGCAGCGGAGGTTGCTGGGGTCTGTGCAGCAGGACCTGCAGAGGGGCTTGAAGGTAGCTGGCCGAGGAGCCCCTGCTCATGCCAGCCTGACGGAACTGGGCCACAGGTTGGCTCAGACTCTGCAGGGCTTGGAGCACTGGGGCAAGGATCCTGCTGTGCATGCCAATGCATCTGAGTCCTGGTATCAGAAGCCTCGCTTCCAGAATCCCAGAGAGTGGAGTGGAAAAGAAAAATGGCACAATGGGCAGAGGGACAGAAAGGCTGAGCACTGGAAGCATAAGAAGGAGGAATTTAGCTGGGAGAAGAAGAAGAAGAGCTGGGAGGGCGAGGAGGACCAAGGGCTATCAGGGAGGTGGAAAGAGGGTAAGCAGAGGGTAGAGGAGTCGGGGAGCAGGAAGGATGGCAAACGACAGGACCCCAAAGAATCCCAAAGGAAAAGTGGGAGCCCCCACTCTGAAGAAAGGCAGAAGCATCCTTGGGGGAGGGAGGGAGCTAAAGGCAGTCATGATCCCTTGCCCCCTTGGGAGCAGCTTTTGAGACACAAGTACCGGGCACCCCAGGGCTGCTCAGGTGTGGAGGAGTGTGCCCGGCAGGAAGGCCTAGCCTTCTTTGGCATGGAGCTGGCCCCGGTACGACAACATGAGCTGGCTGCTTTGCTGAGAACATACCTGGCACGCCTGCCTTGGGCAGGGCAACTGACCAAGGAGCTGCCCCTCTCACCTGCTTACTTTGGTGAGGATGGTATCTTCCGTCATGACCGCCTTCGCTTCCGGGATTTTGTGGATGCTTTGGAGGACAGCCTGGAGGAGGTGGCGGTACGACAGACAGGTGACGATGACGAAGTTGATGACTTTGAGGACTTCATCTTCAGCCACTTCTTTGGTGATAAAGCACTGAAGAAGAGGTGGGCAGTTCTGGGGGCGGGTCACCTGAATGGCAGGGGCGGGTGGGGCAGGAGGAATGCAAAGGAACACTTAGCTGTGAGCGAACCCTGGCTTGGGGACTTCTCTCTCCTCTCAGTCCCCAGCTGGCACTCATGTGTCTTCCCTGTCTTCCTTTGAGGGACCACAGTGGTCCTGAGGAACCCTCTTTTGGGCTAGGGGATTTTTCTCTGATTGTCCTTTCCTACCTGTCCTTGCATGTACCTTGTAGCTCTCTAGCTGGAGCATTCATCCAACAACAGCCCTTGCCTCTTGTGGCAGTTGCCTGAGTTCTCTTTTTTAGGAAGAAGTGGGTACCCATCTTTTCTTGTACTGACCAGTAAAGGCCTCCTTCTACTCCATGTCCTTCCACAGGTCAGGGAAAAAGGACAAGCACTTGCGGAACCCCAGAGTCATGGGGTCCCGGGAGGAGCACAGCTACTACCACCACCATCAGCATCACCACAGGGGCTGATTCCTGCACCTGCCCTGGGGAGTGGCCTAGCCCACCATCCCCATCTGAACCCTAGAGACCAAGCTCCCACCATCCAGCTGTCCTCCCTTGGCTCTTTGGTGTCCTTGGATGTCCTTCACTGTGGAAAGAGACAGCACCCAGTCCTGCACTGATTCCACTTTCATTAGAAAAAGGCCTTTCCTGGACTTGCTGTTCTGTCTTTGCAAATGTATGCAAATACCCCGGCCCGGGCTGCACCCTGCAGCCTGATTGTGTGGTGCCAATGTGCCAGGGCCCTTGGGAGAGGAGTGGGGAGGATGGGTGGGTTTCTGAACCTGAAGCCAAAGAGCTTTTGTCCTCTTGTGTATGTGTGTTATGTCCTCCTCCACATGCTGACAAGGCGCCTTCTGGGACGGGACTAGAGCTGCTGGCTGGAAGCCCAGCGTGAGGACTTGCCCTGGGGTTTTGTTAGATTTAGAAGTAACTGTCCTCTGGGGGAGGGGGGGTGAAGTCCCCTTTTACTCCTGCTTTTCACATGGCCTTACCTCCCCATGTGAACTATAGAGCTTTGCCCTTGAGGGGAGGGAGGCGGTTCTAAGCACAGGGGACACCTGAGTAGCTGGGTGCCCTCCTAGGCACTGGTACTTAGCTCCTTTTCCCAGATGCCCTTTCCTTTGGCCTCACCTTCCTCATGAAGCCTCCGCCTTTGAGGCTGGGTCCTCATGTTATCCAATGCTGCACTGTCTGTCCCACTGGCTGATGGAAAAATGTCAGCTTTGGAGTCTAACGCCATGAGCTCCAATCCAGGCTGGGTGGTCCTGGGGTAAGTCATCTCTGGGGATACTGGGTTATTGTCCTCAGAAACAGAGATGAAAGGACTGAGAGAGGAAATAAAGCAAATGGATGTCCTGTTTTTGGCATTCAGAAATTTTGCCTTTTTTGGAGCAAGGTTGGAGAAGAGAGTTCTCACTGCAGTCCCCTGGGGCAGGGGTGGAGGGAGGTGAGGGATTGGGGGGGAGGGGAATACAGAGATGAGGGATCCACTAGGTGGCACCCTGGCACTGCATTTCTTGAATACTTTCCTCCCCACTATTTACCACCCCCAAGTCTCAGACCCGCCCCCCCCATACACTTACTACCTGTCAATAAGACCCAGAATCCCTTTGACTATTTATTTGGGAAGTCCTTTCTCAGATCCAGTGTCACCCTTTTTTTTGACAGCACACTGGGCTTCTTGACAACCCTGGTAATGTAGATAGTGCTAAAGGCAAAGTGGTATGAGCACAGCAAGCACTCAGAACTGGTCAGCTGTGTTGTCAGTTATAAAGGGGTAGGTCTAGGGGCTCTGGAAGCGGGAGCCCTAGGAGGAAGATCCTAGGAGGCTGTAATTGATTTCTGGATTATTTAGCAAGTGCCTATGTGCCACTGTTTAAGTGCTTTAAATGTGTGATTCAGGGGCAGAGCAGGCCAGGCTGGGATGGAACTAAGATCACTTATTTCGCAAACATTTATAAAGTCTGTGAACTAGAAATAGTGAGGCCCTGGTAATACAGAACCTCCTTAAGAAGCTTGTAGTCTAATGGAGCCTGCATTCTGCATCAGAAAGGGTTGTATTTAGGCCTGAGGAAGAACTTCCTGTCAGGCAGAAGGTAAGTGATAAAAGCTGGAGAAAGACTTCAATTTCTGGAGTAGGGGTGGAGAGGAGTCAGTGCAGGCTCACCCAGGGCCAGCTGTGTGGACCACCGTTTCTCATCTTCTAGAGTCTCAGAATTCTTACTGTCTGAGTAGCAGACTTGTAACCCTGATGCTGAAAGAGATTCAGGCCAGTGGGTAGGCAGGGAGATGCTGGGCCTGGGGTGGGGGATGTGCGTGGGTCTTTCATGGGCCTCTCAAGTCTTTTAGTTTCATTTCTAGGGCCCATTTCCCTTGTTTGCATAACGAACTCTAGGGCCTTTGGGAGGTCCCCAAGCCCCCTTCTCCTTACCTATTCAGGAAGCAGATCTGCTGATCTGGAAATTTTCAAAGAGTCATTGCCCTAAGAGGCATGTTGGGGAGGGCTGAGTGATCCTCCCATGCAACATAGCTCTGAGGCCTCTCTATCACCCCCATGTGGCCCAGCAATGCTGGTAAAGAGGGAAGACCCAGCCAGACCACAGGGTGTGAAGTTAGGGGCGGGTGGGGGGTGGACAACACTGTCTCCTTCAACATAGCTTGGGAACAGGCCCTTGGGAGGGGTAGGGTAGAGGTGATCCTGTGGGTGGAGCCACTGGACTCTGCCACACATCCCTGTTGGCTTTCCAGGGTCTAGGCTGGGCCCTTCCAATTTAAACCCTCTCCCTTGCCTTCTTGTCTTTTCCATCCAAATGAGCTCCCTGAACTCATCGGGAAAGGGACCTGTTGCCCTAAAACCACAGCTCTGGAAGGCTGGAGTTGGAGTGGAGGGTAGCCCTGGACTTTCCTTCTTCTCTTCCTTTTACACTCAAGACTGAACCCCGGGCAGGAACTCTTGCATTTGAGGCAAACACCATTGAGTCACACTCCTTGTTTTGTTTTTTGAGATGGGATCATACTAAGTTGTTCAGGTTGGCCTCAAAATCTTGTTTTTTTTTTGTTTTTTGTTTTTGTTTCTTTTTCTTTTTCTTTTTGGTTGCTTGTGGGGCTTGAACACAGGGAATGGGTTCTGGCCCTGTGCTTTTTTTTTTTTTTCACTCAAGGCTAGCAATCTATCACTTTGAGCCACAGTTCTACTTCTGGTTTTCTGGTGGTCAATTGGAGATAAAAGGCTTACAAACTCCTGCTCAGGCTGGCTTTGAACCACAATCCTCAGATCTCAGTCTCTTGAGTAGCTAGGATTACAGGTGTGACCCACTGGTGCCTGGCCTCAAACTCTTAATACTCCTGCCTCAAACCCCCAAGTGGTTGGGATTATAGGCATGTACCACCACATCCAGCCCAAGACCTTCTAGCTTTAAGGGACAAATTCTATTTCTTTGGCCAGTTCCCAGAACAATCCCAGTTGGCCCCCATCCATCATTCCTTCTTTCCATTCCTGCCGCTCAGTCTCCAACCCTCACCTCTTTCCCAGGCTCCTCCAAAGCTGCCCTTTCCCCCAGCACCCTCAACTTAGCCTTCTGCCACCTACTACCCATGGCCTCTCCCCTCCTGTGAGACTCCCCTGTCTTCCTGCTTCCCAGGTCCTTTAGGCCCCATTCTTTACTCCCAGCGGGTGTGACAGCTGGAGTGGTGACGGGCCACCTACAGACCTGACCATCAGAGCTTATGTCCCTCTTGAGAGCCACTCTCAGTTTCTTTTGCTGGGCCCAAGGACAGACACTGGCCTGGCTGGCCATTGCCATGGAATGAAGTCTACCTTGTAGGCAAGTCTGTGAGACTCTAATCTCCAATTAACCACCAGAAAACAAGTGAGGCTGTGGCTCAAGTGGTAGAGTGTTCGCCTTGAGCTGAAGAGCTCAGGGACAGCGTCCAGGCTCAGAGTTCAAGCCCTATGACTGACAAAAACAAAACAACCGTGGGGAGTGAGATTCTGAGTCACCAGTAAGGACCCAGGGGTCTTTCACCCATGCAAATTGGGCCTTTGGCTGACTTCAAAGATCCCCTTGGCTCACTCTTTCCAAGCAGCTCCCTGAGTTCCCCAGGACCCTACCATACAACATGCACTCCCTAAGTTGGACCATATGATTTACTGCAGGCCACTATGCCTGTGCCAGGTCTAGCATAAGACTGCTGGATCTGTCTTCAGTCCATACCCCCTTATTACCTGGGGTTGGGCTCCCAACTGCCAGTCACCTTAGGGTATGGAAAATCCTGCAATTCCACAGGGCCAGTTTTTACCCTAGGAGATGCCCAGGAAAATGCCTCATATTTCTTTAATGGCTCACTTAATTAGCCAAATGCCTTCAGCATGCCTGGGAAATATTACTCTACAAGATAATAGTGCTTATAGTGCCCCTGAGGAAACCTGTTTTGTGTGTGCTCATGGACTAAAATCATGTATTGATGGGTCTTTGCAAAAAGGCCTCTGTGTTTTAGTAGTTGTTGCCACAGGTCCTAGTATATGGAGGAGAAGGTCTCAACTTCATGGTGCCCCATCTGACCTGTGCCAAGAGGGCTGTGATTATACCAGCTCTGGTCAGTGTGAGGATTGCCATTGGGACCACTGCCCTTGGGAAAGAGGATGTTGACACCAAGATGCTGGAGCAAGACCATCAACCTGGACCTGCAGGAATTGGAGATGGCCATCACAGACCACAGTCAGCTTAGCCACCTGGCTGAACTTGCCTTCTGAAACCAGCAAGGCCTGGACCTTTATTCCATGCACAAGGAGAACTATGCACAGCCCTTGGGGAAGCAAGTTGGTTTTATGTCAAATAAGTCAGGCACCACTTTGATATGAAAGTCTTTTTAATTGGAACCCATGGTTAACATCCTTCATTAGTAGAATGACTAGATTCTACTCTTCCTCCATGTGGCCCAAGCTTCCTTAGATGAGCCACTTGTCAGTAATGATAGTAGTGATTATATCTCAATGACTTGAGGGGGGAATGAAGTAGAAAAGTTACCTCTCCTGGTGAAGTGACTTTCCAGTATCCTGTTGCTGGAATGTGGCCTGGTGGGACTGTGCTAGAATTGTGGGTTGGGGACAGATTAGATGGGGCCACCTGGATGGAGAACAGGAAGCCTACAAAGCATTATTTTAAATAATAGAAGGGGTAGTGACAGGATGTCATGATTTCTGCACAATTAGAAAGTGCCCACCTAGTCAGAAGTTGATGTCAGCACATGTGACCTTTTTTTGATGCCTATTTTGTGTGTAACCAGCTTACAAACCACAGGATTTCCCCTCTTTCAGAATCTGGACTTCATTCTGGCACTAGCCTAGTTTGGGTCTTTGCAATAAACTTTTTCCTCTCTAAAAAGTGGTCTTGATCTTGCTGGTCTGTGTTGCTGCAACAATGGAAGGCTATTGCCCCAAACTCAGACAAAACCAAGTCTCTTCTCTCACTACTTCATTCCTCAGGTGCTTGAGTCACAGAAGTGCCTTGTCACCTCCTGAGACTTGTCTGTCTTTCTCTCTCTTTCTTCCTTTCTTTCTTTCTTTCTTTCTTTCTTTCTTTCTTTCTTTCTTTCTTTCTTTCTTTCTTTCTTTCTTTCTTTCTTTCTTTCTTTCTTTCTTTCTTTCTTTCTTTCCTTTCTTTCTTTCTTTCTCTCTTTCTCTCTCTTTCTTTTTTCTTTTTCTTTCTTTCTTTCACTCTTCAGCTCAAGCCTGCCTGCCTGCCTACCTGCCTTCCTTCCTTCCTTCCTTCCTTCCTTCCTTCCTTCCTTCCTTCCTTTCTGTCTTTCTTCTTCTTCTTTTTTTTGTTGGTCGTGAGGCCTGAACTCAGCCTGGGTACTGTCCCTCAGCTCTTCAGCTCAAGGCTAGCACTCTGCCACTTGAGCCACAGCACCACTGCTGGCCTTTTCTACTTATGTGGTGCTGAGGAATCGAACTCAGGGCCTCATGCATACACTGCAAGCACTCTACCACTGAGCTACCTCCCCAGCCCCTCTTTCTTTCTGCCTTTCTTTTTTTTAAACGGGTCCTGGGGTTTGAATTCAGAGACTGGGCACTATCCCTGAGCCTCTTTATGTTCAAAACTAGCACTCTACTACCTGAGCCACAGAGCCACTTCTAGCCTTTTCTGAATAACTTATTAGAGTCTTACAGACTTTACTGCCCAGGGTTGGCTTTGAATCGTGATCCTCAGATTTCAGCCTCCTGAGTAGCTAAGATTATAAGTGTGAGCCACCAGCACCTGGCTTCTTCCTGTGATTTTTTTTTTTGGAGGGGTGGCGGGGGTTGGTTGTAGGGCTTGAACTCTGAGCCTGGGGGCTGTCCCTGAGCGATTCAGCTCA